GTGCTCCGCAACGGGAGAGGCCACAACAGTGAGAGGCCCGAGTACCGCAAAAAAAAAAAAAACCCAAAAAACAAAAAAACCTCCTGGGTGGATTAAGCCTGAGATGTTCAAGATATAAATTCAAATTCACATTTAAATACAGTCATGAGATCAGCTCACCCTTGTCTGTAAAGGTGCAAGATGACCCACAAGCCCTCACCGGCTTTGGTAACTTCTTGAACATAATCCTTTCCTGAGATTTCCAAAACTTCTCCAAATTTATTCTTCAGTTGGGTTGCTTTCCACTCGGCCAGTCTTTGCTGCCTGCACAACAGAAGGAAGAGAGAGACATCTTACAAACACACACGCACACACAACACCCCTTTCACACAGCAACCTTTGTAAAGGTCCATGTTTATTTATTGACTTGCCAGATTTATTAATGTTTCAAAGGACACACATTTTAGTGCCACACAAAAAGCCAAGCAGTCCCTCTGGGTGGCACTAACCTGTACATTGCAACTGCACGTTCATCTTCCTCATTAAATTCGTCTTCATTATCCTCCAGTTCTTCCAAAGTCATGTCTTCATAAGTTTTCACTGAATGTCATCGAGTTGGCAAGAAACCAGAAATGTGAAAGATGAGCAAACACACATTTTGGTTTTCTTCCCTTCACTCTTTTCCTAAAGGAGTGCATGCAACACCAAAAGATCCCCAGCCCACCCAAACCCAAATAAAAAGTACTTAAGGTGTTACACTAGTAAATAAGAAGGGGAGGGTGTTTTTAAAAGACAGCTGCTGGCCTGGCTTTCTTACCTCCACACGGTAAGGATACAAACGGGAAGTCTCCCAAGTTTATAAAACAGGAGAGCTGCACTTGCCTGAGCTGTAACCTGGCCAGATCTTCAAAGCACAGACATTCACGGACAGGTGCATAACAGTGCTCATGCCTCTGAGGAGCCGCGAGGACACCCACTGAGTCCTCCCCTTCCTAGGGTGAAAGGGCTAGCCCCTGGCCTACTCTTGTGAGTGCTAGGCAGCTCTACCTTTTCTCTTAATCAACTGCTATAAAATCTGTATTCTGTTTTTATTGCCATAAACACCCTTGCTTCTTGACATCACATCAGGCTTTTGTCCCCAGACCCCCACCCCATCACTACCCAAAACTGCTCTTATCAAGGTCAATAATGGCCTCTGTTTTCTCAACGGATGAGCACATCTGACCCAACCCATCAGCACCTCCTCCCCAAAAGCGCATCTTCCTCTGGCCCCCTCTCCTCCTCCCTCTATGGCTGCCCCTCCCTCAGGCCCTTTGCTGACTGGACCCCTTTTCTTCCTTATCGATACCCACTCCCTTGGTTGACCGCATCTCACAGCTTTAAATACTAGCAACATGCTGACAACTCCCAAAGTTATGCCTCCAGCCCGTATTTCTCTGGCTTGGGACAGCATCCCCAACTGCTCCCTTACCATCTCTATTCATCTAATAAAAATCTCAAAGTGACCATGTCCCAAACAGAGTTCCTGATCTTACCTCCAATCCTGTTCCTCCCCAAACCTTCTGCATCTCAGCTGGTGGTAACTCCATCCTCTGGCTGCTCGAGCCCAGAGCCCTGCAGTCATCCTTGACTTACCTTCCCTCACACCATCATAGGATCCATAGCAACTCCTGTCAGTCCTACCTTCACAATACACCCAGATCTGGCCACTTCCACCCACCGCACTGCTCCAAGCCAACGTTACCACTTGCCAGAGGTACCACTGCAGCCTTTTCCAGACTGGTCTCCCCACTTCCTGCCTTGCCTCCCCACAGTCTGCACTCAGTAAGGCAACAACAGGACGGTGCTGTCAACGCAGAGGACACGTCACTCCTTTGTTCAAACCTCCAGTGACATCCACCTCATTTGGCAGCAAAGCCAAGGTCCATACTAGAAGCTACAAGGTCCTAAATGGTCCGAGCTCTAGTTGCCTCTTTGAAGCTCCTACTACTGTCTCCCAGTCCTGCTGGCTTCCTGGAGGATTCTCCAACATGATTTCCACTTCTCACTCACCTCCCTCAGGTCTACTCAACTGCCAGGGGGGCCCTCTCTGACCCTTTCTGCAATTATACCCACCCCTCCTCCGGCCCCTTCCTGCCTTATCTTCCTACATTTCACTCACATATAATTTACTGTCTCTCCCGCTAGAATGTAAGCTCCAAGAGGACGGGGGCTTTGTCCAACCCGTGCACAGCTAAAGCCCCACTGCCTAGGAACAACACCCAGCACACAGCAATCCTTCAGTAAACATTTGCAGGATAAACGCTTTGTAATAAATCCTTCTCTAAATTAGCTCTAACAAGTCAACAGGGAACAAAAGGCCTAGCCCCTGTGGTCAATGGTTCTCAAACTTTGGTGTAAATCAGAAACTCTTTGAAGCACTGGTTTAATATGCAGAGTCCTGGGCCTTACCCCCAGAGATTCTGTTTCAGTAGGTTCTGTGTGTTGTTGTGTGTGTTTGTTTGTTTGTTTGCCTTTGGGACAAGCACCCCAAGGGATTCCAATTCAGGTGATACAGCTACATGTGAGAAAGCCCCTCTCCTAGACCCTGTACACTGCAAACATCTTATGCTTCCCCAAATCAAGCTATTTTAATATTCGTAATCAAACCACAAAGATAAAGTACACCCTCACGAGAATACAAACACTAAAAACTTTTGAGCAGATTTCCATGACATTATCCAAAGTGAATCACAGACCAGGAAAGTCAAGACTTGGAAATACTTTCCTCGGGGTTATCACGTGCTCATCCGACACAGACGAGGAACTGTGGAAACAGAGGGGGCCTCTGAAGTCTCCCTAATTCTGTGGCGCAGCAAGCTGAAGCCAGCGATGCCCTGTGACCCGCCTGAGATCCCAGACGCAGCATCCACCTCAGCACTCCAATCCCTGGCTCCCAACTCTTGCTCAGAGGATCCTTCTACCAAAGCAGTTAGAGGCCTGGCAAGTTGTCTCCTAAGCAGACAGACACTCAATAATGAGTACCGGCACGCTCACCAATGGACTGCTGAAGGACCCGCTGCTCTTCCTCTTCTGCCTGCTTCTCCAGATCTTTCAAACTCTCCTTTGAGGGCAAGATGCCCTTTTTGCGTAAGATGTCATTCCACTCGGTGTCTGCATTGGGGTCCTAGAGCAGGTGGACCAAGGATACCATGAGTGCCAAGTCCACTGTGGAGGGCGCCATGGGTAAGGAGGGGTCAAATGGGAAAGTGGGGCTTCCCTGGTGGCGCAGTGGTTGAGAGTCCGCCTGCCAAGGCAGGGGACACGGG